TTCTGACAGCTTCTCTTCTTCACCATCTCTCTCTTCAGCATTTCTTTCCTCTTCAGAATCTGTCATTTCCCCTTCCTCCTGAGCTGTGCATATCAAGTTCAGGTTCAGCATTCTGAAAGTTCTATCATTTTAACTCTTACGTTATGTCTAGGATTCATTTTTTTTTAGAAAATGCTTTTATTGTGGATTAAGTGAAGGTTTAAATCAGGCAGATTATCCATTTTACATTTTAAAAATCATGCTTTGTTTCACTGCAATGATTGCAGTTCCCTCCATAGGCCATCAGTTAGCAACATTTACCTCTATTCCCGCCCCTTTTTTTGATGTACCCATGCAAAACAAAAAATATATATTCATGTAAATGTCCAAAGGTCACATTTTGCAAACTAGCCTCCTGCCCTCAGGCACACAGCCTTTCTCTGTCCAGGGCCCCAGAGTCCTCAGCGGCTCGCTCTCTCCATGCCAATCAGTTCTGCCGTTACCGCTTTCCTGGTTAGACTCTCAGGCTCCACTCATGGTCTTTTCTTTTGCTGGTCCTGGGATCTTCTGGTCCTGAAATGAAAGATTAACTACTTCTTCCCCCTTTTAGTTACACATCACCTACATTTACAGTTAAGACCACTGTAATTAGTCCTGATAAGTTAATCACAATTCAATCATCAAAGTCTAGGATTCATTTTGAATTAACTTTTGTATCTTGTGTCTTAGACTGATGGCTCTGCTAGAAAAAATTTAAAGTTCTATTAAAAGAGTAAAATTATATAGAAATGGGGAGAGATTTACAGACATCCGTGCAAGATGTTACAGTGCTCAAACTGCAGGGAGCACAGTACTGGTTTTAAAGGGCATGCAAACAAAGGACTGTGTGCCCACATAGGCAGATAGGTAAAAGGGAGGAAGCATGGCAAAAGTTACAAAGAGTTTTTGTCAAACTACAAGCTCAAAATGTGATTGGTTAGCTTCTATGTTACATCAGAAGGAGAGTTGTTTAACAAAGTTTTCTTTGGGAACTAATTTGCTATTCCATCTGCATTGTGTCTCTACCTTAGTTGAAGGAGCTCTGGTAGCGTAGTGGTTACGAGTCGGGCTGCGAACTGCAAGGTCAGAAGTTTGAAACTACCAGCTGTTCTGGGGGAGAGAAAGATGAGGCTTTCTGCTCCCATAAAGATTTACAGCCTTGGAAACCCTGTACAGGGCCGCTATGAGTTGGAACGGACTCCACGGCACATAACACCACCAATATAAACTGCCTGCTCTGGTGCTATAGGATAAGCACTGGACTGATAATCACAAGGTTGGCCGTGGAAACCCACAAGCCGCAATTGGAAACCCTATACAGGGTCGCTATGACCTACAACAACAACAACATTAGTAACACAGTGAAAAATTCAACTATGTGAACTGTTAATTTTGGGAGACAGGATTGTGAACTCATACTTGACACATATCTTTCTTGTAGTTGTTGTTAAGTGCCATTGAGTCGGTTCAGACTCATAGCGACCCTGTGTAGGGTTTTCAAGGAGTGGCAAGTGGGTTTGAACCATTAACCTCTTAATTCAAATCAACATTGTGGTCCGGTGCTTGCTGTACAGTGCCACACAGCCACAAAACTATCTTCTGGCTCTAGTTTCTTTAATGGATTTGGTTCTATCTTCTGTCCTGCTGACCGAGGGGCCTTCGCAGGTCAGCAGGATAAACCATTCTTAACAGGCACCAAGCAATTCTTTTATCTAAGAAATCCTGACCTTTGTCTTCATTGTTTTCCAGGCAGTAAAACTTTTGACAGAAAAACTGAATGGTTTCTTTAGAAAAGCAAAAATGACGGTAGATCATCAAGGAATTAGAGATAAGTTACACTTCTTCTTTTCCAATCAGGATACCTTTTATTTTTGGATAATAGTTTGGCTAGGTGGCCTGGTCAGAACTTCCAATATATTGTTGAAGAGAGAGGATGAGCTTGAGACAAGACATCCATGTGGGTATCATGAAGATTAATGGTATTTTTCTAGTGACAACACAGATAAGATTAGAACGAGCTGTGAAATTGTTCCTCATCTCCAGATGCATTGTGACTTTTTTTTTTTTTTTGCTAGTGTCAACTGCATTGTGGTTAGAAATGATGATTTATGAAAGACCCATATTCCTAATTTTAAGGCCTAACTTTATGCTGTCCGGACTCTCTTTAGGAATGATTAAGATGTCTTATCCCTGTTTTTCTCATTTCCTTTTCTACTTAGCTCTAAATGGTAGCCTCGTTGCCAGTTTTTTAGTTGACTCTTAGAAAGGCTAAAATGTATTAGACCTGTATGAACAATGGTGTTTTTCCAAAAGTGCAGTTATACATAGTTTAGAACCAGATACACAATAATAATTTGTTTTGAATATGACTGAACAGGTAAATTTCAGGAGAAATGATTTCTTTTGAAGGTTCAGAATTGTTCCATAGATTTTCTTCAGTTTTTGTTTTCTTGTTTAAGCTTTAAAATGCTTGAGTGCTTCGCTGCTCACTGAAAGGTTGGTCAAACCAGGGCTACCTCAGAAGAAAGGCTTAGTGATCTACTTCCAAAAAATCAGCCATTGAAAACGTCCGGGCACAGCTCTTCTTTTTTTTTTTTAATGTTTTTTTGTGAGATATGTGATAGTTTACATGGGAGAACATTAGCTTTACATTCATCCTATCGATATCGTTTCATGGCTATAGTTATAATCCCCTTCATGCATCATCAACAAACCAAAGGGTATACCCTGCAAGCCTGCCCTCGGGGTCGTCAGCACACAACTCCTCTACCTCTCTGGGTCTAGAGTCCCTGGTCGCTTCGTCTCTCCACGTCTCTCCACGTCATCATCTCTGCCTCCATCTCTGGCATCACTGCTTCTCTGGGTAGGGTCCTGCTCTCCGCTCTCCTCCCTTGATGGTCCCAGGGACCATAGCTTTACTCGTAACACATATGGGGGTGCCATGAATTGACCTGATGGCAGCTGTTTATAATTTCCTCTTCTTGGGGAACACATTCAAATATTAGTTCTGTTGTAACACCCACATCACTGAATGGATTCCTTTGACACCAGTTTTCTCTAAATATGAAATGCACCATTATTTTATACACATGTAAAAATTGGGAAATTATAGGACCATCAAAGGGGAAGAGCACAAGTGGAATGTGGGACCCTATTGAGAGAAGCAGTGACACCAGAGGTGGAGGCAGAGATGGGGACACAGAGAGAGGGAGCAGCTGAGGACTCTAGACTCATGGAAAGAGAGGGACTGAGAGCTGGTGGCCAGGAGGCAGGCTTGCAGAATGAATGCGCCCTTTGGTGATGTGTTTAAAACCATAAAGAACTAAAATGAATAGAGAGAAATACTATTAACTGATGGTTCGTGGAGGGGATTATAATCATTGTAATGAGACAAAGTATATGATTTGTTGAATGTAAAACTCATCTGCCCTGTAAACTTTCACTCAAATCACAAAAACTTTAAAAAAAAAAGGGTGGGGGGAATTAAATACAAACGTCTCTGATCCCATGTTCCCTAACTCATTCAATGCAGGGACATTATTCAGTTCACTGAACATGCAAGGTGAATACAGACTAGACCCTCTGGTTGTTGCAATACACTAAGCCACTGTGGGTCCTCCAGGGTTAGTTTTCTCATGTTCTGCTTTTCTGTTTTTTAATCCCTTCCTTTTAGTTTCTTTACAAACCATGGTGGTGCTTCGACTAAGCACTAGGCTGCGGCCCACAAGATGGGTGGTTGGAACCCACCCGCTGCTCTGTGGGAGAACGCTGAGGCTGGCTGCTTTGATAAAGCTTTATAGCCTCAGGGAACACTTCTCTGGCCTGTGTGCATTGCTGTGACTTGGAGCCAACTCAGTGGTTGTGGGTTTGCTTCTGAGGGACCATATTGTAAACTTTTGCCTTCTGGAGTTGACTCGTTTCCCTGCTATCTAACTGCGGTTGAGTATCAGTCCTTTCTTTGTAGCTGATAGGGGTGGCACTTTTTCTGTCATTGAATGTCTTGAATTTTAGGGCTTTCTTTAGGCCCCCACACCCCATGCCTTGTTCTTTATTTCCGTATTCTCTAAAGATACCGTTTGGGCCAGTTTTCTTGTCTCCACTGAAACCACCTTGGTTTCTTCAGCCCAGTCAGTCTCTCTTTGGTACACTTCCCTCCAGTCCCTCCAGGTCTGGTGCTGCAGAGGGAGTGCTAATGACACATTCGGTAAAATATTGGGCTGCTAGTGGAGAAGTCAGCAGTCCACCCTGAGGGAGGAAGAGAAGACAGTCGGCTCCAGAAACGGTGTGCAGTCTCAGGAACTCTACGTACGCAGCAGTGTTTGCCCTAAATGGTTACTGAGTCTGCACTGGCTCGCTGGCAGTGGGCTTGGTTACTGGCCTAGTGAGTCTACGCGAGTCAGGGGGCTCCTCCTGTCAGGGAGTGTCTGGTCCCAGGACCCTGACCCCCTCTTCTCACAGCATCCCCATCCTCCTTTCGCTGAGTTTGAGATCACACCCAGCCCTGTGTCTCTCTCTGCTCTCCCACGTGGGACTTCTCGAAATGAAGCAGTGTCTACCCTGAGTGTTTATAATGCTGGGACATTTTTGCTCCCGTTCTTTGTGTCTAATAAGAAAACAGTATCCGAACGAACGATTCCCAGTGTTGGTTTTAACTTTTTATTGTGAGTTTTGGGTGAATTCATTTTCTTTTCGTTGTTTTCTGATTGATGACTTTGCCTTTATCCTGCCCCTAAGTCTGCCCAATATCACTAAAAGTGATCATATTTAATGATGTGGGCCTAAATATATAGCAGCCTATTTGTCTGACATCATGCTTTCAAAGCACCTACCACCCCCCAAATATGTTGTGTTTTGTTGCCTTAATGATGATCTTTTATGAGGGTGCCAGGTTCCTGTGGCTCAGAATCCTGGGCTGGCAGCCTCCTCCCTCCTCCTGCACACACTGGGGAGAAAGTGCTGAAACACTGTGTGGGATCTTTTAGGACTCGATTCTCTTTGAGGACGTGGCTGTGAACTTCACCTGGGACGAGTGGGCATTGCTGGATGCTGCTCAGAGGAAGCTGTACAAGGATGTGATGCTGGAAACCTTCTGGAACTTGGCTTCAGTGGGTAAGGACGGCACCATTCAGTCACATCTTCCTTTTCGGAACAAATGTATCTAGCACATGATCCCTTTGAAAATTTATGCTGAGAAATGGGAATGCGTTAAGAAAAAAGACAGGTTCGGCTCTAGACCGCCTAAAACTTGAGGTCAGTGAGCTTTTCCTTGAAAACTGTTGTTTCATGTGTTTTTCTTTCTCTTTATAAAAATCTCAAGGCTCCATGCACTTGTCAGTTTGGGCATAGTATCCTGTGGAGCACAGAGAAGCTTTGTGGTAAATAACAGGATTCTATTTAGAAATATCAGAACTATAAACTAGTCTTTGAATGTTCCCAAAGATGCGTAGTAGAAAGTCTCCTTCTAAATCAGAGCAGCCTTTGGAAACCCTCTGGGTCCTAGCTGTACTGTGACCCAGTGGGGCTGACTCTACTGCAGCTTCTTTGTGAACTGGCTGCCATTTTCACCCACTCTCCCCGTTTTTGTCAAAACCCCTAGTTTCCTTTGCTCACGTATCAATCATTCCTTCTAAAATTCGTTTATCCTTCTGTGTCAACACATGAAAAGAAATCCACAAATGGTCATTTTTCTGTTTTCATAAGAAATTGTGTTATCAATTTTTACAGGTAGTCGTGCTCGAACTAAACGCAGCAGACCAAGTCCTCGCCAGGACAGTTTTTGGAATGAAATCTCCAGTGATAAGAAAATAAAAAATTTCATAAATGATTCTTTGTCTGATTTGGAAGAAAAAAAGAAACTTGGCAATACTGAAGATCAGCCCCAAAGCCAGAAGCAGCGTTCCAGGTGAGGGGAATGTTTGCTGTTGGTAAGTGCTGTCGAGTCCGTTCCGACGTGTGGCAGCCCTCTGTAGGCTTTCTGAGTGAGACTCCATCTTTGTGGGAGCAGAGAGCTTCATCTTTCTCTTTGGAGTGGTTGGTGGGTTCCAGTCACTGACTCACTCTGTAGTTCACAATCCATTGCTTATTCTACAGAGCCAACCACTGACCTTATGGTCAGCAGTCCCATGCTTATCCAACAGAAGATTGTTAAGACGATCTTAAAAATGAAAGAACAGTAAAATGTAGATAAGTAATCATGTGCTCAGAATTCTCACAAGACAGTATCTTCCTAAGTGTGATGTAGATGTTAAGGGTTGTGAAACTTATTTCTGATGGAATGCAATGTCTTCATTCAAGCCCTCAGCCAACTAACTATTCAGGCTATTCCACTTTGAAACTATGCAGAAAACTTCCTCAGCCCCTGAAAGTGGGCACTGTGTGGTCACTGTGTGGTCATACTAATGATACATTTCGCTCCTCATCTTTAGGGAACGTGGGAGTGACTCCAGAGGACAGACCACCCCTGCTGCATGCAAAGTGTGCGGGAAAACCTTTAAGCACTCCTCCTCCCTTAAAGTACATTTAAGACGGCACAGTGGAGAGAAGCCTTATGAATGTAAGGAGTGTGGGAAAGCCTTCAGTTCTTACTCCTCCCTTCACGGACACGAGAAAACACACAGTGAACAGAAAACACATGACTGTAAGCAGTGTGGCGTAAGTTTCACTTGTTCCAAATCCTTGCAAACACATATGAAAACACACAATGGAGAGAAGCCCAGTGAATGTAAGCAGTGTGGCAAAGTCTTCACTTGTCCCAAATACTTTCAGAAGCATGTGAAAATGCACACTAGAGAGAAACCCTATGAATGTAAACAGTGTGGGAAAGCCTTCATGGTTCTCTCTTACCTTGAGAGCCACATACGAATGCACACTGGCGAGAAGCCCTTTGAATGTACACAATGTGGGAAAGCTTTCAGTTCACCCAGCTCCCTGCAAGCACATATGAAAACGCACTCTGATAAGAAACCCTATGAATGTAACCAGTGTGGGAAAACCTTTATGCATTCGTCTTCCCTTAAACTGCACTTAAGACGGCACAGTGGAGAGAAGCCGTATGAATGTAAGGAGTGTGGGAAGGCCTTCAGTTGCCCCACATACTTCCGAGAGCACGTGAGGATGCACACTGGAGAGAAGCCCTATGAGTGCAAGTACTGCTGGAGAGCCTTCAGTTTCTACTCATCCCTTCAAGAACACGAGCGAACACACACTGGAGAGAAACCCTACAAATGTAAGCAGTGCGGGAAAGCCTTCACCTGCTACTCCTCCCTCCACGGACACGAGAAGACACACAGTGAACAGAAACCTTACGAGTGTAAGCAGTGTGGCAAAGGTTTCAGGTGTCCCAAATACTTCCGACAGCATGTCAACATGCACAGTGAAGAGAAACCCTATGAATGTAAGGAGTGTGGGAAGGTCTACAGTATGCCCGCAAACCTTCGACAACACATGACAACACACAGTAGAGAGAGACCCTATGAATGTAAACAATGTGGGAAAACCTTCAGTTGGTCTACGTCGTTTCGATTACACATGAAAACTCACTCTGATGAGAAACCTTATGAATGTAAGCAATGTGGGAAAGCCTACAAGTGTCTTACGTCCCTTCAAGGACATCTGAAAAAACACATTGGAGAGAAACTGTAAGAACTCAGGGCATGTTGGGAAGCCTTCCTTCACCCTGAAAGCCTTGTAAAGAATCGCATGAATGTCAAGGGTATGGAACAACCTTCAGGTATCATGTCCACAAAAACCCAGAGGAGGAAAACCTTGTTACAGATACGATAATGCCTATGTAGACCCCTCATCTTCTATACAGAGCTGTTTATTAATTTCTAGGTCATGTATTAAGTATAAGCGTATCTTTGGGGGGTGCGAAGAGTTAAGTGCTTGACTAGTAACTGAGTTCAGTGAGTTGCAGCCTCCCCAGAGGGGCCTCAGGAGAACGTCTTGAAGAAGTCTTGACAATCTACTTGTTAAACCACAGTCTGGAGAACCCCGGGGGCGCGGTGCACTGGCTCACGGGGGGCTTGGAGGGGGAAGGGGCAGCTAGTTTGATGTTTGTTTTTTACGTAACTTTTCAGCTGTAGCTCATATTTTGTTACATAAAATGTTAAATAGTTGTGCATTTGTATAAAATTGACCTCATTTCCTTTACACTGTCCTTTGAATCCATAAGTTTTTGTTTGTTTTTGTATATGTAACATGGAATAATTTTATATAAAAAGTTTTTGATTTCTAATTTTCATTCAATTTCTAATAATGTGGTCTCCTGGATTGAGTAGGTTCCCATTACAGGGACCCCAAGTCCAAAGAATGTGCTTAGTTCCAGACTCTTCTTTCTTGCTGGTCACAAGCCCCTCTTCCTCCTCTGGAATGACATAACTGACCAGTCCCCAGGGTGAGTGAGGCTTCATACACTGTATTTGCGTGATCTCACCCCCAAAAGGGTATCCTGTGCCTTATTTACATTGTTTGCAAAGTGCCCAATCCCCACGGATTGTGGGCTACAAGCACCTCACATTTGCAGAGTGCTCCTTGGAGGCCAGGATGGCCAGACTTCGTGTCTCAGACTTCAGACATATTGTCAGGAGGGACTAGTCGCTGGAGAAGGATATCATGTTAGGTGAGGTGAAGGGTCAGAGAAAAAGAGGAAGACCCCCAGTGAGATGGATTGGCCAAGTGGCGGCATCAATGGGCTCAAGTGTGGCTTGGCCCAGGATCGGGCAGTGTTTCATTCTGCTGTGCATAAGGTTGCTTTGAGTCGGTATCGACTCAATGGCACCTCACAACCACCACCACCACCCAGTTATTTGGTGGGAGTTACAAAGACTTAGGCTAGCAGGGCCACATGAAGTGCCACAGCCTAGCTCCCACCACAGCATTGATGTTAATTAACGTTAAATCAGTCAGCAATCATGTGCTAGGCTGTGGTTCGAAGTCCAGTGTTGGTCTATACAGCACCACAGTTTCTTAATTCCATCCGGATAGATTTAATGCTGCACCCAAAGTGAAGGGAAATGGCTAGAGAGATGAAACACGGATGTCTAGTGTCACCACAGCAGAAACACTGACCACCGTGGACGGCTTTAACAAACAGGCAGATTTACTCACAGTTTCAGAGGCTCCAGAGCTGAAATCAGAACGCTGCTCAGGGGTGTCCTTGTCTGCTTTCAGCAAAGCACTGCTTGGAGGGTTCCATGTGTCTTGGCATCAACTTTTTCTTGGATCTAGGAATTTTACAGGGATCCTGGTGAGCTTGGAGGACCATCCAACTAAACACACACACACGCACCTGCTCAGGGATTCCATCCAAGGAAACTGAGGGCTTTCTATGACATAAACTGGCCTGCTTTTGGGGTAAGCTAGCCAGCCACCCCTCTGGATACAAGGGCCAGTTAGTTGTGTCCCAGTTTTTTTCATGAACCTGTAATTTACCTGAACCATCAAACAGTACTGAAAAAACTGCCTTTGGTTCTGCCCGAGCCCTCCTGGCTGCCTGTTAACAGGAGAGAGAGAAAAAAGTGTGTGCTTGGAGACTAACTGAGATGGACAAAAAGAGGAGGGTCCCAACTCCCTCTCACAAGGCTGAAGCCAGTGTGGAGTTCTAAACCATGGTTCTGGGCGACCTCATGGCTTATGGTGGCATTCAGCAGAGCATCACTGACCTGAGGGGCCTGAGATATCTCTGTGAGGAGACTGGTCGTCCTGATGAATGAAGCGATTGTGTACCCTTTTCCTTGCCCTGGTTTCCTCCCTTCCTCTTTGTGATATGCCTGTGGTTTGTCTGAGGGAGGACAATGGGAAATCAACCCTACTAGGAACTATGTTAGCAAACTTTAAAAAGGGACTCACAGGGGATTTTGAAGTAACTGTGTCCCCGGGGAAACAAAGAACTTTATGTGAACTGGAGTGGCCCAAGTTTGTGGAGTAGGATAGCCCCCCAAAAAACAATCTACCAGAGAACCAGGGCACCCAGACCAATTCCTGTACATGGATATTTGGCTTTAATTAATCCGACAACCGCCTCCCTGGCGTAGAGGCCAGGCATCAAAGGTTTTAATAACCAATGCAGAAAATATATCAGGGAAGCACTCAGCCCAGCCAGACAACTCAGCTGCCTAAAGCTTCTGCAATACTCCCTCCTATATGGAAAAACCCTCTTATAAGGCTCCAGTGAGAACCAAAAGCTGCAAACAAGACCCTGAAACTAAAGCTAACAACAAAAAAGTTAAATTCTGCCTTTGTAAATCAAAGCTCAGGAGATAAACACTGAAAGCCACAAAAACTAGAGGGATTTACAGAGAAATTCCACCCAACTAATGAAAATGCCGACCGGTCGGGCTCACCTAGCCCCGGAGCCTATGATCCGAATCCAAGTGGGGGCAAGGAACGGACGATTCCCTAGTCACTCAACCTATAGCTCCCTGGACTCAGAAACATGTCACCATTCTGGGAGCTATAGGTGGTGTTGCCAACCAAGCCGCCTGCCAGCTCCGAAAGTGTGTATTAGGGGCTGTAATTAAAGATCAGTTCCTGTACATTCCAGACTGTCCCTTCCCGCTTCTGGGCCGTGATCTCTTAAACAAGCTCCAAGTGCAGATCACTTTCACAGACAAAGGGGATCTGCAGCTAAAGTTACCTCTGGGTTCATTCTTCCTCACCCTGTTAGTACCCTGAGAGGAAAAATGGAGGTTATTTAAGGGTCCCACGGAATAAATTAGGACTCTACCCTTTTTACTAAATGGCCTGGGGTGTGGACTGAAGACAATCCTGGGCTGGCTCTAAACTATGCGCCAGTGTACATAGCAGTGTAATCAACCAGCCTGGTAAAAATCAAGCCATCCCAAGACTCAAAAGCAAATTCTTGAGTTCCTGGGATCAATAGGATTCTGCCACCAATAAGATTGCAAACTTTGCTGAAATCTCTCGGCCCCTTTAGGAAGCCACAGAGGGCTGGGAGGCTGAGCCCCTGTGCTGGGGCTGGGAATAAGAAACAGCCTCCCAGAGGCTTAAAACGGAACTCCAATCAGCACTGGGTCTACCAGACATTTCCAAGGCCTTTATGTGTCAGACATTATAAACAGCAGCGGGGGTACTAGGTACAGTAGGCTCATGGGTGAGGCCAGTGGCATATCTATCCCAACAACTGGGGGGGGGGGGGGGGGGGGGGGTGAATGGCCCCCTGAGCCTGAGCACCCTTGCAGCCACCACTCTCCTAGTACCGGAAGCCGACAGACTCACCCTAGGGCAGACCTTAATAGTGAGAACAACTCACTCTGTGTTCACCTTCATGAACACCAAAGAGCACCACTGGTTAACCAACTCTAGGCTTCCTAAGTACCAGGGGCTGTTAGGTGAGAACCCCCAAGTCACCTTAGAACTAGCAAAAACCCTAAATCTGACTACACTACTGCCCATAGGAAAAGGCACCCCAGAACACAACTGCATTGAGGTCACAGAAACTGTGTTATATACTGATGGGAATAGTTTCCTGGACACAGGAGGGGAACAACGGGCAAGATGCACACTATAGTCACTCGAAATGAAACTATAATGGCAAGGGCGCTCCCCAAGGGAACCTCTGCCCAAAAGGCTGAACTAATCGCCTTGACCCCAGCCCTAAAACGAAGCAGAACCAAAGGGTTAATATTTACTCAGATTCCAAGTATTTGTTTTTGATGCTTCATGTTCATGGAACTATACATATAAGAAAAGGGGAGTGCTAACCGCAGGAGGGAAAGCAAGCAAGCATCCGCCCGAAACCCTGGAGTCACTAGATAGATGCTGTAGACCAAGAGACACCTGTTCGAACAGAACCTGAGAACACTGAATGGTTAAAATTAAGAAAGGTGTGAGACAGCGTTGTATTCTTTCACCATACTTACTCAACCTGTATGCTGAGCACATCATCCGAGAAGCTGGGTTCTATGAAGAAAAACGTGGCATCAGGATTGGAGGAAGACTCGTTAACAACCTGTGATATGCAGATGATACAACTTTGCTTGCTGAAAGTGAAGAAGACTTGAAACATTTACTGATGAAGATCAAAGAGCACAGCCTTCAGTATGGCTTACATCTCAATGTAAAGAAAACAAAAATCCTCACCACTGGACCAATAAACATTCTTAGCAACGGAAAAATGATTGAAGTTGTCAAGGACTTCATTCTTCTTGGATCAACTATCAACACTCATGGAAGCAGCAGTCAAGAAATCAAACGATGTATTGCATTAGGCAAATCTGCTGCACAAGACCTTTTGAAAGTGTTGAAGAGCAAAGATGTCAGCTTGAGGACTAAGGTGCATCTGACCCAAGCCATAGTATTTTAAATAACCTCATGTGTATGCGAAAGCTGAACAGTGAATAAGGAAGACCACAGAAGAATTGATGCTTTTGAGTTATGGAGTTGGAGGAGAATATTGAAAGTGCCATGGGTTGCCACCTACCAACAACAATCAATAATTACAAGGAGCTCTGGTAGCGTAGTGGTTACAAATCGAAAGTACCATTTGTTCCGCAGGAGAAAGATGAGACTTTCTGCTCCCATAAATATTTACAGCGTCGGAAACCCTGTACAGGGTCGCTATGAGTTGGAACCAACTCCACGGCACACAACCACCACCATGGGCTGCCAAAAGAACCAACAGATCTGTGTTGGAAGAAGTGCAGCCAGGGTGCTCCTTGGAGACCAGAATGGCCAAACTTCGCCTCTCATACTTCAGACATATTGTCAGGAGGGACCAGTCGCTGGAGAAGGATATCATGTTTGGTAAGGTAGAGGGTCAGAGAAAAAGAGGACAACCCCCCCCCAGTGAGATGGATTGGCCAAGTGGAAGCATCAGTGGGCTCAAGCGTGGCAACAGTAGTGAGGTTGGTCCAGGATCGGGCAGTGTTTAGTTTGCTGTGCATAAGGTCGCTATGGGTCGGTACCTACTTGATGGCACCTAACAACAACAATCCAAAAGGAGTGACTATCACCATCTCTTAGTGTTTAGTCCGCACCTATTCCAGGTGCGCAGAAGCCTTCCTCACACAAACAGAGAAAGCACGAGAAGTAACCAGAATTCTGCTATGAGAAATTATCCCAAAATAGGAACTACCTCTAAGCATAGGCTCTAACAATGGACTGGCCTTCGTAGCAAACATAGTACAACACATAGCTAAAATACTGGGCATAAATTGGAAACTACACACAGCCTATAGGCCTCAGAACTCGGGCAAAGTCAAACACATGAATCGTGCCATAAAAAATGGACTTAGCAAATTGTGTCAGGAGACTCGTTGAACCTGGCCCCAAGCTCTCACACTTGTGTTACTAATCAGATATACCCTCAGAAACAACCACTGGATATCCAACCGCCTTTTGAGATTTTGTTTACCTTGTCCCCGCCCCTCCTGTTCCTTGCCAGGGACCCTAAGGGAAGTGGAAGAAGTTGAAATTAGCTCACAACTCCAGGCACTAGGGAAAGTAGCTACCCAAGTGTCTAAGTAAGTTACTGAGAAATTACCTGTCAGTCTGTCTTCCCCTGTGTACCGTCCTTTCAGCCCAGGTGACATGGTGTGGGTGAAGAACTGGGATTGATCCCCACTGCAGGCCAGGTGGAGAGGTCCACTGTCATCCTGACCACCCCCACGGCAGCCAAGTCTGAGGGGATCCCTGCCTAGATCCATCACACCCAACTGAAGCAAGCCGCCCCAACCAACCAGTGGGAATACGAGGTGAATCCCGAGCAGCCCACCTGAGCCATGCTGAGATGACAGACAACATTCCCTGCCCCAGGTACGGCCTTGTGCTGAGGATCCTCCTCCTAACAAACCTGGCGGCCCAGTGACCATAACAGAGTAACCACCAGGGTGGGCCGCACCACTACCAAAACCTCATTATTCATGGGGTTCTACCTCTGACAGCACTGAGGTGGGGCCTGTGGCTAGAACGCCACTCAATTCTCTTTGTGGGCTACCTCTGAAGGGGGACATCTGTGTTATGACCCAGCGGAGCCCCCTTCGTGATTCCCACCTGGCACCAGCGATGGTCCAATTGTCCAAACCATGATAAAAGGGAACCCTAGCCAGATAACATTAAAATTCAACATTTGTCAGGCTGTTACTCAGTCCTGAGGACCCACATGTGGCTCAGTCAGCTGGAAAAGGCGCTGCTACAGGTTAGAAAACAAGTTCACTTGTAACCTAACCGCAGCCTGTGACAGTAGGTACATCTATTGAAACTGTGTTAACTGGGACACGTGGCAAAACCAACAAAAAACAGTCTCTCCAACAGTGGACCACAAACGCAATACCCAAGTCCCACTGAGGCAGGCACTGGGCCCCAGAACACACATCGCATTCCAAGGACAGAATCCACATTCCCGCTGCGCAACAGACCGCCTCATCCCCACGATGTCTGTCACAGCTAACAGCGAACCTCCTGTTGCAAACTCTCCTCCAAGGTGGTAACAAAGCCCCCCAGGTTACACCTCACTGCGTCTGCTTTTGTGAACTCCTTCCCACCGTATGAAGTAGCAAATACCAGCTTTACACACCTCCCCCACCCCCTTCACTCACTCTGTAACAAACAGCCCCAAAGACCCTAAAACGATATAAACTAGGGTCCTTCCTATAAACGGGACTCACTCTGGATAAGAAACCGCTGAGCTACGTGTCCACACAATAAAGGTCTTCCTTTGTTATAACCCTCATGGCGTTGGCAACTCCTTCAGCGCGACTCAGCTAACACCATATCATTATGACATATTTGAAATATAATGGAAAGGTTTTCTTAAGTGCTGTTGAGTTGGTTTTAACTCATAGCAACCCTGTATAAGGTTTCGGAGGCTGTAAATCTTTGTGGGAGTAGAAAGCCTCATCTTTCTCCAGACGAGCGACAAATGGAAAGCGGCAATTGGAAATTTTTTATATGATACTATATCACATTGAACATTACAAGACATAGAGAACTGTGTTCAAATGACATCATAATGGAAATGCACGTTTTATACAAAGTTTTATATAACGAAATTCATGTGATATATCTGAAAGGCTATATGAAAAAAGTAAAACCAAAAACTAATTCCCTTACAATTCATGGTAACCCTCAAAGCAGGAACACACTCACTCAGGTTTTCAGTGACTGAGCCTTTGTAAAGTATCACACCAGGACTATCTTCCAAGGCACCTCTGTTGTTAAGTACCGTGGAGTCGGTTCCCACTCATAGCGACCCCTGTACAGGGTTTCCGAGGCTGTAAATCTTTACGGGAGCAGAAAGCCTCATCTTTCTCCTGCAGAGCAGCTGGTAGTTTCGAACTGCTGAGCTTGCGGTTGGCAGCCTGATTTGTACCCACTACGCTACGGGAGCTCCTTGAGATAGTATAGTGAGCCTTTTAAAATCTCCATGGGAGTGCTATGCCTTGAAATCGACAAGAAAGTGTTTTTAAGAAACCAGACGCACAGAGAGGAATTCCTGCAAAGACCTTCTGAAAACGGCTGTCACACTGGTCAAGGGCTGTAAACACAGAAGACAGCACAAAGCCCAGTGGCACAGACAGGGGTCCACAGGCCGAGCAACAGGCTGGGCTGAGAGGAGCTGAGAACGGAGGAGCTATGCTGCCTCCAGGCTTTCTGAGCTGACCCGGAGTTACACCTGCTTCCTCATAAACCACTGAAGTATGCTCTGTGAGTGG